TTCTGTCTTACCATGCTATTTTAGGAACACATTTAACAGCTTTTCTTGTTTAGAAGTTCCTTCAACTCATGACTAGGGTAGAACAGACCTACCTGGGAGCTCAACAGGTTGTTAGTGGTTTCAGTTATATCAGTATTTCAAAGATGTTTCCATTGCTCTTACTTGGGCTGAAATAAGAATCCCTTGATAATCAGACAGACATGATAGAGCTGCTGTAATATAGTGACATTAGTAAGCAGCTTCAATTCAGAATCTGTATAGTTATAAATACATAATAAAATATAATTATATAATCAAATAGAGATTTATCCTTGTCCAAAGCAGAAATTCATGCTCATTAGTACAGTCAGTGTCAAAGCTCATTATGACACTGAGTATAGAATGCACTGTGTGATTTACTTGCCATCGGTTGTTAAATGACTAAGAGATTTCATATTCAAACTGATCAGGTCAAATAATCTACGTACACTTTCTCAGCAGTTTCCCAGCATCATTCATCCATGGGGATTCCTTGCACATACCTTCAACTCATTTTGAACGAATGAGTCTGCTCCAACATTGCCACTAGCAATGTAGCAAGCAGCAAAACAGCCAAACAACAAAAGCAGTGAATATCAAAAGTCTTGAAGAGACCCACACAATCTCTGAATCCAGTTTGTGGTTGAAGTTCCAGTAACTTTAGAAATATGACACAAAAACATTAACCTGTCTACCCATTCCCTACTTCTAAGAGCTGTGAACAAGCGCCTGGCACAGGTTTATTGCTTTTTGCCAGTTCAGGTTAGGAACTGCTCTACTGCCTGCAAACACTGAGTAGAATATAGTAGCTGGTGCTCACAGCTCCTCCTCATCACTACTCTGGCTACTTGATGTCCTCCAAATGGAGAAAAAAATTCCTTTGTTATTCCACTATAGCTTCCCTGTATTAGTAACTGTGGGAGCAAAGTGTCTCTGCATCTCAAATCTCATACGGAATGCAGAATAGTCCACCATGTCGATTATAGAAATTCTGTTGTTCAAAGACCAGGGTGGCACCAGGTTCCTTCAGCTAAAACATGGTGAAATTGGACACGTTCCAGACTCACATGGTCTTCTACACTACTACAGCTAATGTCCATGTAACGCATGAGTAACATACCCAGTAAAACGTACTTACGTAGTGTTGAACTGCCTTTAGTTTAACAGACTGTCCTGAGTTGATTTAACTTGTTTGTCATGACCTTCTATCAACTATGAAAAAGCTGGAAAAGGAGAAAATCGCTAATTTAAAATTCTGCACTTCTGAAATTAGAAAAGAATTCCATCCTCTCCAGAGAGTGAGAATCCTGCCTTAATGAGTCTTTCAAGGAAGGTGAGGGACTTGGTGAAACCAATCTGAGAACTAAAGAAAAAGCCAGACTAAACACTATCAACAAGGAAATTGAAAACAAAGATCAAAGATGCCTAAAGTGTCTGTGGACTCCAAACAAAATAAGTAATAGGCCACCCATCACCCTCACTGAGGGCTGGAACTAGGCGACCTTCAAGGTCTTTTCCAACCCAAGCCATACTATAATTCTCATCACCCACAATTTCCATTGTCTAATAAAAAAGATTACAGACTGCACGTGATACAGATCAAAAGTTCTATGTCAAGCAGTACCTGCAACAAATGCACAGGTCTATCACACATTAATTCTCAGTTCAAGAACACAATGTGTTCCTAAGGTCTGTAAAATCTTTAATAAAACTCTCCTTCCTGCTCAGAAACTCGATCCTTACTGACTTATACCCTGAACTCTTTCCTATTGCTCACACCAGTTATTTTTGATTGAAATTTTAAGAGCATTAACTTCCTCCAAAAAATTAATAATTAAGTCACAATCTCATAATGAGTACTTATAGTATCACTACACAACACATACAAGAGCAGGCTGGATACCCAAGTTAATTACAGAATACTCCAGAATAACTTGTTGTAGCAGAAAGCAACCATTTGCTGCCTATGGCCAGACCTTACGCAGCAGTGATGCCGCAGCTCTTCTGGAGCTAGACCCTGGCACTAGTGTCGTGCTGCGCTCCACCAGAGTTTCCCTGGGTGTAAGTTCAGACTTTCCCTGGGTGTAAGTTCAGACATCCAGCTAAGAGAGCAGACACGGCACGCAGCTTAGCTGCACCTTGCACTGTGGCAGTGTCACAGCTGCCCACAGGCCAGCACAGAAACTCTCAGCTGCACGCTCAGCCTTTCTCACCCCACGCCAGACAAATTTCTTATTACAGACTCACAGGTGTCATGCAATCCAGAGAGTCAGACTGCTCCTGTCCAGACTATTTGAAACATCTAAAAGAAGGGAAATAAACTCTGATACAGAAAGCAAATGAAAACATAGTTGTGTCCAGAGACGTTTTTCTGACCTTGCATGCTGCACGGTGGTGGGATGATGAAGCCACCCCTGGTTCATTAATGCCCTGGGACAGCAACCAAAGCCTGGCCCTATCCTGGAGTAAATTTCTGCCCTCTGTGCTTCACCTCACAGTACATCAAACCCCTAGGTTCTGCACCGTCTGTGCTGTCAGCTTGTGACAGAAATAATCCATGCTCCCCTACATTTTAAGTCAGACGTTGCCAGGCTGCCATACTCACCCTTTATTTTCCCAGGGCAGCACTTGTTCTTCATACTATATTGTTTATAGGAACTAAATGTCAGGGTTCACTGTTTCTGGAAACTTGTTAGTGGGTGGAGATTGTTATCCAAACATCCTTAAATTCCCAGTTCCACATATGCCCTGTTCTTGGCAGTAATTTTTTTAAATTTTGCTTTTCTGCTTAGAATTGGTTTCTAGGATTTCAGGCTTGAAACAGATCCACAACTGGGCTGCCAAGAAGCGGACAATCTGTGATATAGTACAACTAATAAGATTTTTGTTGATATTTGGTAAATTAAGTGTAAATCTAAACTCTTAATCAAAAATTATACTAAAACCTGAGCAAAACAGAAGGTGAATCTTGAACCACTAGCTAAACACTCAACACCAAACATCCTTTAGACATTGCACTTCTGCCTTCCTGATATTTGTTTCTGGGCTCTTCCTTCCCTTCCATTCATTGTACTGTTTTATTTTGAATCACAGTACTTTAATTATAATTTATAGTAAAAGTAGTGGAGCTAAAATTCATTTACTCCACTATAACATGAAAACAGCTGCAAGACACAAACAAAAGGTAACTTTTTATACGGGTATCCTTACAAAGAATAAACAGTTAGTAAATCATTCTTTTCTTGTTTCCAGTAGAACCAAGTCTTGTCTTTTAAAATACTTTTGATATGGTGATATCAATATTTCTTGAATGTATCTTCAAATAATATCTAAGGACAGCCTGACTACCTTCCCTCTCCTTCCCCCAGGTTAGCAAGATGTTAAATATGCACTCCTCACCCATTTACTTTCTCCCAGTCACAGATAACCAAATTTATTTAGCCAAGGCTTTTTTCTAGGAAAGCTTTGATCCTCCTCTGTGCTTCCTCAGAAACAGTATCAAGTTCCTGTCAAAAGCCAAACTGAACAGAAAGTCTATCAGTATCCATGCCAACAAACGCTATAGTTAGGGTTAAAACTGGACCCATTTTGTTTTGCTGTCTATGGTTATTCTAGTGAAAAGTATTTCTTGGTGCAGTATTCATTCCAATGGCAAATATTTCAAACTTCTCACAGAAAATAATCACTAATTATTTTTGTAGAAAACTGCTTCCCACTGACAACTTAAAAAGAGGTCTCAATTCATCAAACAAATCATTCACACTGAACGAAAAGGTGTTTAGAACAAACTCAAGACATCTTTCCATTGATTCAACCACTCAGCAAGGTGTGAATCTAACTTTTTTGCCTTTCCCCTATCCATAAGTGGCAACAAGGCTGGTCTCTCCCATTCACAACACTATGCGTGATCATATTTTACTTAATGAATATAAAGCTATAGAAGTGTCTGAAACAAAGGGATGGGTGAAGGAAATTGTTTGCCTTTCAGAAACCTTTATATTTGGATAACGTACTTACCTTTAGAAAGAACTGACAGGTTATAAAAAAATCCCAAAATGCTGACCTGCAGTGCTGTCTAGCTTCATGCCAATCAGGCATTATCTTCCAGCTGTACCTCATGAGTCAAAGACGCAGAAAATCAATTTGGAAAGCAGAAAACTTGAACTGAGAGGATTCTGTTTGCTGTCAGTAAGAAGCTATTACCTTACATATGATGATATCTAGAGATTTCAAGGAGAAAGGTTCAAGGGAAATAATTTTTTAACATTTTATTGATGAACAGCAGGAAATGCAGCTTTTCTTTATCATACTGCTTGATGTAATAGCAAGTTTTACATGTGGAAAACTACTTTTGCATGGTCTCAGAATAACAGCCTCAGTTCTGAAAATAACTCGGGCATATGATGTCACAGCCGTGGCCATCACCCTGAGAAAGGCAGAGGATATGGAGCAGGGCGGTGGGAGCAGCAGAGGGATCTGGGGACTGTAAATCCAAATACAGCTACAGAATAAACTGTCAGTGGCTCTTTTGTGCTGAGCCATTTGTTGCCTTGTCTACACTGCCAGCAAGAGTTTAAAGATAGCTGGAGTGTGTCTATACAAGCCACACAAAATTTTAACTTTATGCTCTTTGAGAAGAGCAGGGTCTGACATGATGCAGGAAGTGTTGTGGACAGCCTTTGAATACGTCCTTCTTCCCAGGAATAAGGTTTGTTCCAAGGGAATGCACAATGCCCTCTGAACTGTACAACCAGAGACTCAATGAACTTCTCTTCCAGATCCTGCCAGGCACACCCTGTAGTATTTTCTTCTCATGTTATTCCTGTATCTGCAGCCCAAGTAATTTATCAGAGCCAATGAATACTGTTCATATTTTCTATTAGCCACCTATGTTACCAGTGCCTTTCTTTAGAGCATACAGGGGTCTAACACAGGATGTATATGTTATTTTGGGTTGAGAGGTGGTCTTATAACAGGAAGAATTACAGGTCTGTAGACGAAGACTTGAAGTGATGCTCCACAGACTGCTTTCCATCTTCTAGAACTCTGGAAATACGCTGAAAAAAAACCAGAGGGACAGGGTTCCAAATGATACAACTACTTCTGTACTGGATTCATTTGGATGTATTATTAATTACTAGGTTGTGGCCTTAAGTTGTGGCTAAAGAAAAAAAAAAAAAAAAAAAAAAACCACGTTGACAAAATTCTGGATATCCTGAATTAATTTCTCTATCCTGCAAAACCATAAACCTGTATTTAAACCTGTCCACATGATTCCAATCATGCTGTGAAAGCATTACACAAATGGATTTTCAGCTTTATCCAGTTCTTCTTCAGACTTGTAAAACAGGATATTTTGTCCTTTTAATTTAATGTGCTATTTAAATTTAAATGCGTGTGGATGAGATCATGATGAAAAGCTGTGAGTCCTAGGTGTGAAAAGAACAAGTATGCAATAAATTGCATATAAGTGAAATCCTACAGACTTCAAATTAATAGGTTATTCTTGTTCCTACGGGTAAAACACGATTATGAACATATTTGAATGCAGATTTTCCTACACATTGTTCTGTGGACCCTGAAGGCACTATCTGTATTTTTTAAAAGACTGAAGAAACTAATGAGCGAAAACAAAGCCTAGTCACCAGAAACAACAAAATTTTTAAAAAATCAAACTTTTATTTGAAAGGTCAGCAGAGAGATGACATGAAATTCTGTAGTGTGACAGATTAAATGTCACCCTCCTTGGAAAAAAAAAAAACAGGAAAACTTTAAAACTTCTGAATCTTAATATCTGCACTGAATATACATTTTTGCTTTCAAACAATACATTAAATTTAATAGTTTCAATTTCGTGAAGTTTCCACAGAAATGGGTGAAGGGTTTCCTACTCCAAACGAAGACAATCTGTGCCAAGCAACACTAGTGACTCAGCGTAAGACAGTGTCTCCTTACAGAGGAGCACCTCTGACACCAGAAATGGACTCACCCAGGGCATGTGTTGCCGTATAGTCTAGGCTTTCCTTACTCGGATGTCACTAACTGCCTGATGTAATTGAATTAACAGGAAATAATTGCTTTCCTCTTTTGCTACTAAACGTTATGCAATGCAGCTCTGAGAGATGAGCGGGTCAAACGAGCCATCTTGTGGGCCAGCTGCAGTAGTGCAGCGCTGAGCCTGCCCTGAAGCCCCACCCAGGCACACCCCTGCCCTGCACAGCACAGCCGGAGGGAAACTGCTGCTTCCCGGGAGTTCCCACTCCCCTCTCTGACGAGAGAAGTAAAAAAACCAAAACACCCCCCC